AATCACTACTCCTGCACCAGCGCTGAGTCCCTATTCGAATTTAATCGAGATTTTTGTCCGTTCAAAACTATACCATATTTTAATTAATAATAAAAAATTAATATCAACCATTATGGGTGCTCTTCTCTGGCGGCACCACAATGTTCAAATTTCACAATTTTCCAATTTTTTTTTTTGTTCATATACAGTGAAACCTCTCCCAACAGGCACCTCTAAATAGCGGACACCGGACACCACAGAATAGCAGAAAACTTTTTAATTACCAATGGTCAATGGAGTGTCCGCGGTGTTTAAATATTTAATTCTATAGTACTTATATGCAAGTAATATAGATAAGTACTAATTGTATAGGTATGGAAACCCAAACCCTATTGCTAGACGCAGATATGTACGCTATGGTTGAAATTCTTAAACGAATCGTTATCTATAACTTATCTGGTAAAGACTTAAAGGCAATTCTCCCTTAAGTCCAATCAACTTCAGAGTCCCACAACGAATTTCTAGTTCCAATATTCCTTTTTACATTCCTTAATGCACCTCTAATTATTAAATGTACCGAATGAACCAATCACAATACATTATAATGTCTCTAGCCAATATCGTCGCGTTCCTCTTTTGTTAATGTCGTGCCTATATAGGTATTTCAATGTTTATATTATGAATTATCGTAACTATACTAACTTGTAACCATATTCCATTTAAAATTCTGTATATATTTTTCTTTCCAAATAGGGCTATAACACGTAAACGTAAATAACAATTTTAATAAAATATAGTAGGTACCATATAATTTGTATTATCAATTTTACAATTCTTATTAAAACAATTATCAGAAATAAACCTATTTAGGTTTACCACTACAGCTGCAAAGTTGCCCAGCATCCGGATTACCATTAATATTTGAACTTTTAAAAATATCGTTTGCGATTAACTGCACCTTAATATTTGTAGATTTTACTATTTTTAATTTCAACATTAAACGTTGATCATCCATTGTGTAAAGGGTGGTAAAATATAACTGGGTCAAAATACACGGTTCCCACGGGAAACAAATTCCTAAAATAGTTTGAAAATTGTGTATCAGATTGTTATGTTAGGTTTAAATATATTGCACCTGAGTAACTTATTTTTTTTTTAATAAAGTCGTTGTCTGATAAATTTTTACCTAATTGTATATTTATAAAACTGTTATAAGTATATATATAATATATACCACAGGTGCTCCTTGGTTCGTCAGCAATCAGCCCCTCCATAATGACCTGAAAATCCTAACTCTTCCCGAATTAGCCTCTCAATCCTACAAAAAACTACACACAGCCATAATTAACCATTAAAATCCACTTATCTCCAATCTCCGCTCTTTAACTAACCCTATAAATCCACTACGTCGATTAAAACGACGTTGGCCCAGAGATCTACTAAACTAAATTAACATTCTGTTGAGTATAATGACTTTTTGAAGTGGTATCAATGGGCGCCCCCTTCTCTCAAGCCTTCATGTTCTTTTCGTTTTTTTTTTGTTTAAGCTTTCATAATTTACTTATTGTATTGTTTTACGTATGCAGATTGTAAATATTCATTTAATAAAATAAAAATATAAAAAAAAAAAAGTATATAATATATATAAGTGTTTCCTTATGAGTTTGAATTTTACTGAAGGTGCCCCCCCCACCGCTTGCTTTGGTACACAGGGCGCCTCTCGCCTACCCTGACAAAAGATCTGAATACGCCTTGCCCCCCCTCTATTTCTAAATCATATTTTTTTGTATAGTAAGATTGCACATTTTCTCCTATATAATTGTAGGTACCTACCTACCATAATAATTGCGTGTTACTGCAGATATTATTAGGTATACTTACACGAGTTTCAAAGTTTTGTTTTCAAGAAATAAAATAAATCACACACTCGGTGTGCGTTATAAATAATATCGGATAAAGCAATGATTTAAAAACTATAATCTTAAACACTACTGCAGTCAAGTATTTATTATTAAACTAAGGCGTTTTCCGGTGCTCATTAAGGAAAGGCTACCTGAAAATTATGTTGAGTTTTTCTTTAGCGCCCTTGGATAATGGATCCGCCTGCACTGATTGGTTATGTTTTATGCGTGATATAGATTACTTAAAATTGAATATTGCAATTTAAATGTATAATTGTTTATACTGTATACTGATTGAACATCCTGTATATTACTGTAAGAAGTAAGAACAGATATTTGTACAAATATTTATGTACAAAGTCGTATACGATGTCGGGTGAGAAGTAATTAGATATAATTTATGCATCGACCTCTATTAATACAATTTTTTTTTTTTGCACAAACATCACCTCAATGGCGGAAATTACGATTTGCAGTGCATACGACAACATAATGCGTCGAACATAATATTATAATAATATGTCATAAACCATGTGAACAGATATTCTATTTACGTATGGCCTTCGCTGAGGTCGACGACGAATCGACTAAATATTAAATTCACTAATGATTACACTAAGGTATTATAATACAAACAATTTTATTAAATCGTATACGTCTCTGGCTTAAAACTATATTATTTATTTATAGGTACTTATTTAAATATCGGAAAACTTCTGAATCTCGACGATGATCACCTTGCCAACGCAGTATAGTAATTACTAATATTGGTAATTATGTTCACATTATCCGAATTAATTACGCAACAAAAGTACGTTAAATATAGGTACTTATACTGACGAATAAAAATATAATATCATGAGGTCATTATAATAGTATATAGAAAAACAGTGTTTACATTAATTTAATTTAAGACTATCATTGTGAAAGCATAGTTAAACATCACATTTAGTTGTACATCCGACTTTAATGGTCATGTCCTCAAGGATGTTATTGTTAAATACATACGACGGTGACCAATCGGTAATTACCATAGGTAGGTGCATAATATACCTAATGTCATCAGTGCTCGGACTGGACAAACTAAGAAGGACGAGGAATTTCGAAGCCAAATTAGCGTCCCTCGAAATGTCTGAGCTCAACTCCAACCACCGATCTCAAACAAAATATATGAGTAATGCTATATATTATATATATAGGTGGTATGTCAGTATAACGCGACTATATTAATTATATAAACTATTAAAACGAACAATTTTGAACAACAGATAATGTATGGATTCACATTAAAAATAATTGAGATGTATTAGACAAAGAATTATTATTATTAAAATATTCCTGTTAGTTTATATTATTTAAATATTACAGTTCATTTGAATTCTACAGCTGCTGTTGTGCAGTACCATATATAGTGCTAATAATATTATGTTGAATTTAATTCATTTCATTTGAATGTCTTAAAATGTTCGAAATAAAATTTACCAAAATAATGTATGTACTACCTATGTTTTTTTTTATTTTAGAAAATTTACAATCTGTACCTACTAACAAAAACACAATAAATAATCAGGTAATATGTACAACAAAACAATATAATAAAATTACGGAATGGCATCCCTGATAGAAATTTTGTAATGATAATATTATCTATCCAAATGATAATATTATCCATCCAATGATAGAACCCTTCAGACTTAAATTAAATATAACTTATTGATTTTTTTTTTATATTATTATTTTTTTTAATTTTATTTTTTTAAAGTTTATATCATAAAAGATCAGGACACCAGAGCCTTTTAAGGTGACGAGGGAGGTTGTCAGGTAGTATAAGTGAGGAAAGGTGGGGAATAAGAGGATTTTGGTGTTGCTGTAATTTTTTGTGAAATTAAATTAAATATTGTTTGGTTAGTTGTTCGACAGTTTGGATTCTTAAGTCCTTGTGGAGTGCATTATTTTTGATATACTATGTACTATGGAGCAGACAAAAAAATGTGGTTTAGCTACCTTTTTTAAGCAAAGTTTGAGTTGAAGGTAGCTAGTTATTTTCTTAGAGATTACACTGCAGTATATTATACAAATTACAATTTTAACAAAAATACAGTATAGCAATAATTGAATAATGACAAAGATATAAACTAGGTACTTGAGTTATTTTTATTTTATATTATCGAATCAGCTGACTAGCTGCAATAGTGAATCACCTTCGCCCTTCAAAGGGCCCTAGGGGAGTCAACCTTTTAGGGTTCATGTAATTTCTTTACTGAGATCACCTGTATATTCGTAATACACTATAATACACTAATACGTAATATCTATATTAAGTATAGGGTTAGGTTAGGCTATATGCATCGGCATGGTTTTTTTTTTTGCAACTTCTGCAACTCACAACTGCAACAGTAAATTAGGTTTAATTCTAATATTTAAGATTATCGTACACAACTACCTACGCTACTTGCATTAAAATTAAGTGTGTTTTTTTACATACCAATTCGTTGTTATATATTGTGAAGAGTGCAAAGTTGTGTAAGTGTTATTTGTGATTTGAATTTATTTTGTAAAAATACAAACTATCAGTGATTTTTAAGACCTATAGAAAAACAATATTTTATAGTATTTTTGACCAAGCAGTTGTAGGTACTCATATAATATTTTTTAGTTGCATATTTTTAACTAGCCAAATGCATATTTTACCACTTTTTTTATTGCATAATGTAGATCCTAACCCTAATAATAAGCATTAATTGTCGACTCGCATATTGAACTTTATACTGTCACTGCTGCAGGCCCGTTGAGAGAAAAATCCGGGCCCTGGGTTTGCACCTTATTGAGGGCCCCTGCACTATTTAAAAAAATTACTAGCCCCAAATAATTTATGAGGTCCAGGGAACCCCTGCCCCACTTCTCGTCGGACCAGACCTGCTATGGTGGTTAATCGATATCTATATTGTCATTATAGATATACTGGAAATTCGATGGGCTAAATCGGTGTGAAAAAAAACGGAATGCTTGGAAATATCATTTACACGGTTCATTATCCGGGATAATTTGGGATAATTTTAAACTGACTTAGCTAACCAAATTTCTACATGTAGTGACTGTTAGTTGGATAAAGTGCGAGACATGAGGCTCCGCGGCTTCAGCCCAATTAAAATGATCAACAAACAAACGGTCCGAACAATCATTAGTTCAAATGAACCTGCAATCGTATTTATGTCGCTGAATGACGACAATATTTTCGAAACGAAAATGTGGACTGAGGTCAAATCGACAAATCAACTACAGTACAAACACTCTCCGATAACGCCAAAAATGCAAAAAAAAAATAATGATGCCTCCCAAGTCGTCGAGTTACTAAAAAAAACCGTTATGCCGAGCTGTATTGTGACTATCGACAAATAAATTTAAATGAAAAACGACCACCTGTTTTTTTTTATAAAATCTAAAATTCGAGACCATTTCAGTTTTTGCAAAAGCATCGAAAATAACTCTGACCCGAATATTAATACAAAAACAGTGTTTTCCGAACGAACGCTTTAAAATGTACTCTGCCGTTATTAGATTTGTAGAGAGATTTTCCTCCTACAGAGGAAGGAAATGTTGATTTCTATGGTATATATATAGGTACGAGGTGCCGACTAAAAGAGGATAAACCTATAATTATTATCACATCATCGCCTGCGGACATTTACATCCTTTATTACAGACGTCGATCGATTTCATAGAATATAGTATAACTAGGCCAAAATGATTTTCAGCCAGAAATAATATTACAAACGTCGAGTGTTACACAACCAAACAGACGTCTCACTGACTAGTTAATGTCGCGACCTTGGGCCACAAATCATAATTGAAGAACAGTGACGATTAAATTCGCTATACGAAGAGAGTTGAACCTCCAAAATAGAGATCTGCATGATCTGTCTGGATTATTACGAACATACTTACTACCTATACTGCAACTGCACCAAACCACATGTTCATGGTTCAGATTTTCTTGTCCAAAAAACATACCCAATTCCTATATTCATATTCTGAGTTTTGGAATTTGCATGTGTACTTAAATAGGACGGTTTCGACTGTAATTTAATTTTACATTCGTATATTATGTGTCTACAGATGATCCTGCAAGGTATTGCCCGTGACAATATTAATTAAACAATATCCATGAATTTTTTAATCTCAAACTCCGTTAAATGTAAGCCGAGCATATTTTCAACAGAGTTATTAAGGGTTGTTTTGACTTGCAAATGTAAAATATAGGTCAATAATAATTATTATATCTTATGATAATAACTTGGTCCCGAATGTCGATGTCTTAATAAACTTATAAAAATGCCATAAAAATTAATTTATTACATGATATAGGAAACGCAAAAAATGTGCAATAATATTATGTTGATTGCCTAAACAACTAGCTCATAACACTATTAAAGTTAATACAATTATTTATTAATTTTAAAATTAAAAATTACAATTTATAAACATAATAAGGGATTTTTGTGATTTAAATTTGAATTTCATAACTGATTTTACTCTAGAAAACAATTTTGTTTTAAGTATTTTCCGTAATAGGTAGGTAAAATTAACTTATTCGATTGGTAGAAAATATAAAAATATAATAATGACAAAAAATCATCTCTTAATGTTTCTCTCAACTGTTAAAGAAAAAAGTAAAAAATGCCCTAAAACTTAAAACTTAAAAAATAGAAATTAAAAATTTGTTGTATAAATCGGTATGTTATTGAAACACATTTTAAGCTATTAATAATCATCGTCTATCACTTTATCATGTTTTTTTTTTTTTTCTTGCATATGGCGTCTTTATCATGTTATCACTTTATCATGTTGCAAAAAAGATACAAAAGTCATCGACATCCGGGCCCTAATATTAACTATTTTATTTTCTGTAACCAACGGCGACCCTATGCAAACAAAATAGGTAACATTCATTTTTCGTGAATACCTATACAATCTAACATAACCTGTGAGCACTTTTCATAATACAAATTTTGGAAAGTACTTCCTTTTAGGGCAGCCTTAAATGGTGGTACGAAGGTACCATGAAAATGTTTAGTCTCTATAAAGCTATCATGGTTTTGGCAGCATGTCGATAAGTTGGTCAGGATAATATCTTTTATATATACTGCCATAAGCTTAAATATTGAGCTCCCCCCCCCCGGAATTTATTATTGTGTTAATGTCATTTTTGTAAAGAAAAAAATTAAAATATGACCTACGTCATAGTAGGTGCATTATACGAAAAAATAAATTTAACAAAAATCAAGGGTATTCTCTTATTTTATAAAAACTGTTCAGAGATTTTGACTGTACAGTGTTTACAATATAATTACATATAAATGATAAACCTATTACCATCGGAAATAAATGAATAGTTTTAGTCTTATATTTATGTTTAGCACGATAATATAGAGTCTATATTATAGACAATAGATATCAATTTCGTTTTAGTAGTTTGGGAAAATTCAAAGAAAAATTAATTTAATTTTATAACTATTGGTTAAAATAAAATTGTGTACATTTATTATTTTATTTAAATTTAACTAAGCCTTTATCTTTCAACATTACAGCTGTTAATGATTTTAACTAAAACTAATAATTTAATGATTAATTTGGATAATTTAAAGGTATGGGGACAAAGCCTCAACTTATAATTTTTAGTTAAGAAATGGTAAGGCTAAAGCCTCTCCCCACTATATAAATTCCCTATTTGCGACTATATGTATACTGGGCCGATTTAAGAAGTGTTCTGTGGAAATGTATATAAATGTAGCTGTAGGTACTTCTGACGATTTTTGTTAAACATTTTAATAGGTATAAATACTTACCTCTATTTAAATAGAATTTAAACGAGTAATAGTCGTCGATAATGGTTTAAAATAATTTTTTTTTTTTCATAACATGTAAACAATTTTTAATAATGTAAACATTATAAACTAGAGTGAAATTATGAAATACCTCCTTGAAGCTAGGCTTGTGGCGGCGACACAGAGTTACAACGTAATTACAATTATTATAATACTACAACATTATTAACAATAGTTAGAAGTTATTTACAAATGAAATTATGAATAGAAGAAAAATATCGATTAAAACAAATGGCAATTCGACACAATGATAAATAACTTATTTAAAATAAGTATATATAACATAAAAGTAAACATAAACAACTCGGACTTAAATTCAGTTTTGACCATAAGTTTCAAAAATCCATTTCAGATCAGATCTCTTAACTTTTATACCATTTTTAAAAGCATCTTTTTTCATATCAACAGCAGGCACGGCACTAGAATTTTTTTCCAGGGGGGGCAGAGTGGGGCAAATATTTTTTTTACATGGGCTAAAATTGTTTCAACAAATGCTGAGGTTATTTAAATGAAATATAAATATTTTCGTATCATATAACATAATATAGCTATTAGCTATATAGTACATACGTTTTATATTGTATGCTCTAAACGTCTAAACATATAATATTTACAAACTTTTGAATTCTTAAAAATGTTTTAAGAATAATATCAAATATTTTTTTTGTACCTTATGTAATATGTAAGAAAATGTATAATCACAGACCTAAGACCTTCAACAACTATATTCATAATGATAACATGATATACAAAAATAATAATTTCTTTATGAGCTAAATATTGATTTTTTATACAATATCTGTTTATGCACCATACAGTAAATGATTGAAAATCTTATAATATTGAAAAAGTTAACAAAAATGTATACAATTGCACTGATATAAGTAGGAATACAATTTGTTTTAAATAAAAACTTTTGATTACCTACCTTATATTTAACTAGTACATTTTAAATTTTTAATTCAATACATTTTTAAATTGGTATTTGCATAGTAGTGTATGTATTGACTATTGAAGTACGAGTACCTACTTTATATTTTTTGTTAAATTTTGGAGGTTAAAATAGTTCATATATATACATTAAAACATAGATACTTTAAGAAATCCTTTTTTATTAATTATCAAGTAACATGTGAACTAATTACCATGACAAATAAGATTATAAAAATAACAAAATAAGAAAATTGTATAAATTATTTAATTATTTTAAATAAGAAATTTGTCATGCTAATTACCAAACTAATATAAGTAGGTAGGTACGAATACCAACTCCTTACACAATAGTATTGTGTTAATCAAACATAAACATATTTAAAATAATAAGTCAACTAAAAATATTTTTAACTGTATACAACAAACATTAATTATTATATCGTACATATTTTTCAGTGGGGGGGCTGGCGAGGGGGCTGGTCTGTTTTCTGGGGGGGCTAGAGCCCCACCTTGCCCTCCCTTGGCGCCGTGCCTGATCAACAGGCAAGTAATTACAGTGTGTAGGCTCAAGATAATTAACGTATCCGACCGAAAGACTTTTTACAAAAAACATATTATAGTAGCGTCATATTATGCTCTCTGTTCCCTTTTGTTTACAATTTGTGTATGATCAACCCAGCCACCTAAGTGATATTTTTTTATACAAAAGTTTCACTGAAAGAACTCTAAGAGTTTTAAAGTTTAGATCGGTAGAGCCCACTGATTCTCGTTTTTGAAGACATAATATACGAAGAATTTGTTTTTGATGTAATTGCCTTAGAGCATAATATAAAATGGATTTAATATTTAGTCTTATGTTTAATACTCGGACAACTTTTAGAAATAATTAATTAAGAATATGTTAGTATAGTAGTAGTAGTAGTATATTTCATATTTACTAACATTTTCAAACCATCATATTATTATAGCCTCCATATCTTCGAAACCTGTAACCACGGACAGTAGTTATTCATCTTAGCGGTTAAAACACAAAGTTTAATATACTTTAGTACGGTTTGCATTATCCCCACAGGGCAATTATTATTAATATTGACATGAAAATATCTAAGTGTCTATATTATGTTATTTGTAAACATACGGAATTTAATTAAAAATTAATTGTTACAGTTGATTAACAATTAAAAATTCCAAAACTCGGAGTTTCAATAGGAACGCATTATTATAGGTAAAAAGGGGGGGGGGGTGCGTATGCTTGGCGAATCACGCTGTATATTCACGCAAATCGTGAGTGTAAAAATTTATTTAAAAAATAAACCGAGTGAGTAAGAGAAATAATTTTACGACTTCTAATAACCAGTAGGTATAATGAAAGTTGTGTAAGGTGAACACATATATTGACTTTATTATACTATTTATTTACTATTTCTACGACATTAAAAATTATTTAATGTACCTACCTGGTATAGGTAAGCGAATTATTACCATACAGAAGGCTTTATCACAATCGAGGGGCCTTGATGATAAACATAATATTATAACTACCATACATGTTATTATGAATGCTTATAAAGTTATAAGTAG